GGGGGGGGGGGAGTGCACGACGTGCCAAACCCATGCCTCCAGGGCATAATGTTTCTTCACTCGGTGTTGCATCATGTCGTAGTAAACAATCAAACCCAACCCTTCAAATCTACGCATATATATGCGTCGAAACATCATCCGGGCATTCACGTTGAGGTCGACAATAACGCCCGGACGCGGATCCAAGCCCTTGTGCCTCACAGCACCGTCGTGGTAGTAAGTTGCCGTGGGACAAAGTCATCATCGCATTCCGGAGAGGTTGAACGCTATTTCGTGGTGATGTTTTATAAGGGGGCGGGGGGCGTTATGTAGTTGCGTCAGTCAAAACGCCCGATCTATTAGTTCGTAAAGAAAAAAGGGTGCAACGTCCATGGCGGCGCAAGCAACGAGCCGCACGTACCTCGTCAAGCTGGCGCTGCAGAGCGTTCACTCTGGCCTCCAAATGCCTCGCTCGCCGACTGCACTCGCACGCAGGAGGTTGAGACATGCGCACAAGCCGCGGGGGTCGGGATCATGGTAAAAAGGGATATACTCAAATCTGCTTGGCCATCCGTCCCCTACGGACAAGCCATCGCGGACGTCGCAGACGTGCGTGATAGTCGCCGTCTGGTGAGGGAAGGAGGAGGGAGGGCTGGCTATGTCAACAGTTCGCTCTTGAGCATGTGTATTGGTCATGAAAGGAAAACCTCACCAAAACGAAGCAGGGGAAGTACATCGCAAAAGCACCCGCTTCCGCAGACTAATTTTTTATCACAAGCACTAAAACCCTGAGCCTACGATAACATACCCACCACTTCCCCTCCGCGAACCCCCCTCTCACCTCCCTTCCTCGGCCAGCGGACACACAGTTCGTTGGAGCTTATCGGTCGCAAAAGAGAAACCCTCACGAAAACGAAGGACGGGCTATCACCAAATACTCCCCTTTCCGCCAACTGCTTCACACAAAAAGCAACAACTGAGAAGACGACCGTATACCAACCCCTCGTCTCATCCTCGGCTACTTCTCACACGCACACAAAATCCTTGAGTCAACGGCTACATTCCCGCCCCCCGCCTCTCACCTCTCTTCTTCGGCCAGGGGCTCCGCAGCGTTGGCCCTCGCGGACAGCTCGGCGCAAAGCTCTTCCACCTCGGCCAGCCGCTCACGTAGCCGGGCCGCCTCGTCCCATCCCCCCGCGAGGTTGTCCTTGGACCGACGGAGGGTTTCCAAGTCCTTGGAGGCCTGATCGAGACCTTGCCGGGTATCTCTCAGCTCGTCCTGTGGGCGCGCGCGCGGGCGAACGTGTGATGATGCATGCGTCTTGCTGTGAAGAAAAAAACTTGTGACGGGCGAAAGGCATCTTACGTCTTGCTGTGAAAAAAAAACACTCGTGAGTGACGGGCGAAAGGCGCCTTCTATTTTTCCCAACAGGGGAAGAACGGATATGCACCCACAGAGTGAGGATGGGATATCATGCGAGCGATTGGCGAAAAGAAATTGCACCCTGTTTTGTGGTGCTTGTGTTCGGGATGATTCGTCTGCAGCGTCATATTTGTGTAAGGGTACGAAACACGTCCCACCTGTGTCGCTTGCAGCTCCAAGAGCCGGCCGCTCATTTCCCGGCAGACTTCCTGGGCCTTGCCGACCTTAAGCGGGCGTTCGGCCAGCAGCAGCAGTAAGACGACAGCAGCAGCAGTAAGACGACAGCAGCAGCAGCAGCAAGACGACAGCAGCAGCAGTAAACTGAGCGAGAACAACGCAAAACCACCACTACGGCAACAACAACGGGAGGTGACAAGAAGGGGGAGGGAGGCAGCGAGCACGCCACAAAAACTATCGGATCCGTGTTCCCTTTGACACGTTAAGGCGGGAGGAGGACGAGGTTCAAGGGATGGCTTTGACATATCACGTTCACGAGGGACATGCGACAGAGACAAGGACGTCGTTCATCACCGCCGTCACAGAGAAGCATGGGGTAATGAGCCAAACGCCGATATCGACCCCGTTCATGAGACGAACCACAACGCTGTAAAATTCGTTCGCACGGCGATTCCGGCCCCCGCAGGTACAGTATCGTTGCCGAGTCCAAAGAATGCAGGCAACCTTGTAGGGCAATCGACGAAAAAGGCTCGAGTAATCAATCCCTTCCTCCCTCCCTCCCTCCCTCTTGACCGATCGATGGCAAAGAGTTCTGACCCCTTGAGCGGAATAGAGGCGATCGACAAATATCAGTGTAGGGCAGACCACGGAATTCGGAAACTTTTCTCCCGCTTTCCTTTCACTCGTTTTTCTCTGCTTCTTTTTCGTTTCACCTCTTCCTGCAGTCTCGCCGCCTTGACCCTCTCGACGTCGCTCTGTGCTCGCAGCGCCTCCAGCCCACGCTCGCGGTCCAACAACTGCACCGCATCACCCACCGCGGGGAAAACCATCATCGTTGTTTGTCGTTGATCAGTGTTCGAGGGCAAAGCCCTCCCGCGAGTACATAGCAGACACAAACAACTCGGACGACCAGCCGGAACAAAGCCAAAAGGCGCGGCGGTGTTGTGCATGTGCCAGGCGCGGAAAAACGTGTACTGTACCTGCGCAAGTCGGCACGGAAAGAGGTACCGTGAGGTTGCGAGTCGGCTAGAGCACAGAGGTGCGATCGATTTTCAAAGGGTAGTTTTTCCACAACCAAGAGGGCGCGATCGCCCACTGATACTTCTCAGGAAAGCTCTGGATGATTGTTTCCAAAACCGCCCTGTTCGACGGTGGTAACCTCCTGGTTGCGGACAAAATTCGCTTCAAACATCGTTCGCACCCCTGTGCCCTAGCCGACTCGCAACGTTACGGTATACCTACAGAAGACGATACCGGTAAAAAAAGGGGAAAGTGCGTTTGAGACGGCACGGCAAGAACAAGGCATCAGCATGTACGGTATGCACACATGCAGCGGTTGAAACAGAAACCCTAACCCTAAAAGTCTAACCCTAAGGAAGGAAGCGTGCTCAGCCTGCTTGCTGTACCTGATTGGAGAAAAACACACATGCAGCGGTTGAAACAGCAAAAGAAAAAAGCTTTCTTACCCTCTTCTTAGACAGAAGGAGGTACTGGATAAAGAGACCGCGATGGTTTTTAATGTGAAGACAACAACAACAACAACCCTCTGCTTGCTGTGCGTGATTTGGAGAAAAATAAGGCAACAAAAAGTCCCCCCCCCCCGGTGTTTGCCATCGGGGTTGGGTTTTCGTCGCTTGGGAACGACGTTGTAAAACAAGCCAAGTCACTTCGTGAGCTAGGCAACAATGTTACCGTTTGTTTTTTTTACCTTTCGTTTTTTGGCGGTAACCATAATGGTGGTCGAGTAGATCATGTTGTGCGNCCCCCCGTCGGTATTTCCCTCCCCCCGGTGTTCGTCATCGGGGTTGGGTTTTCGTCGCTTGGGAACGACGTTGTAAAACAAGCCNAGTGAAAGCACCTGAAAATAAATCAAGTCATACGCAGCTGTCATCCGTACGCAAGGAAGTGAGCACAACATGCCGAACACCCTTGGCAGGATGCAGCGCACCCTTCATGCGACTCGCCGAATACCTCACGGCGCTTCGCGCTTGGTGATGTGAGAGCCTGGTCCGGTGAGAACCCGGTGTGCTCCGTCCCGGCTTTGTAGGGATGCGAGATCAATGGTCTAACGACTACGGCACGCACGACTATGAGTAAACCCCCAATACCCCCGCCTACCTGGTTGGTGAGGCGTCCCTTCTCTTCCCTCTGCTCCTGCAGGGCTGTCGTGAGCTGGTCCAGCCTGGTGGACAACCTCTCGTTCTCCTCCACCAGCTCGTCGCGCTCGGCCGACAGCTATCTTACACCCAGGGCAGAAGGCGAGAGAGAGAAAAGCGGAAAGGCGGAGAGGAGAGGAGAGGAAAGGAGAGGAGAGGAGAGGAGAGGAGAGGAGACGAGAGGAGAGGAGAGGAGAGGGCGGTCCGTGATCAACCGAACCGAAACACGTTCACAAAAAATAAATTCATCCGCAATTCTCACGTCGCCCGCTCTTCAAGACGTGAGGAAAAGAGTCATTGTTTCCATACACAGAGTACGTCACCCCGGGAATGGGCTTGTCCTTCGAAATGTGTGAAGCAACTCTTAACCGGCCACCCCACACGGGATCAATGGTGGCTACGATACCAACAACAACGACAGGCGTGTGGGATTTGAATGTGAAACATTCATAGTCTGCAGAAACCACAAGACCACACAGTGAAAAAAAAAAACGGAAACCTATCTGCGCATGCATCACGACATCGCCCAAACGCGAAAAACTAGAACCCTTATTATGGTACGCCATGTTCTTCGCACCTATAACTAGCGTACGAATACTTGGATATATGACATAGTATTGCAAAAAAAAAAAACAGCATTTAGTAGTGGGCGCGTTTCACTCGAAAACGACATCAACACCACCTACCTGTCTGGTGATCTCGAGCTGCTCTTTCGACAGCGCCTCGGCCTCTGATCCAGCCTCCGCCAGCTTCTCCAGAGCTGCTTCCAGAGCTTCCACCCTGACAGTGCCACAGCACCGCCGACGTCGACACAGTCAGTCAGTCGCCAAAAAAAGGTGGTTGTAGGGTGGCGAGAAAAACAGGGATCGTGCGGGTGGGTGTTCAGAAATGCGCGAAAAGAGTGACGCAGGTGGTGTTGGCCCTCAAGTCAGCCTCGTGCAAGAGGCCTTGCAGGCTCCTAAAACGGCAGACGGATAAGAGCAGCGAGCTGTGTGCCTTAAGGCGTGGCATGGCTCGCATCTCACACCAAGCCATTACTTCTTGTCTCACGTCGTATGGCAAACGGATGTTGTTTGCGGAAGGGCGGCTTCCGGGGAATCGATACGAAGGGTTTGGCAGCAGAGCAGGAAGGGGAAAGGGTGGAAGACGGGGGAGGGACCACATGAACACGTTGTCTGTGGGTGGGGGGGTGGGTGTGAAGGGGGACACATCCTCAGGACGCCCCATATCTCGTTGATAACACTCTTGAAACGACAGAGGGTCGTAAAGGGTCAAAAACGTTCCATTACCTGCCCCATAATGGTCCAAAAGCCCAGAGGGCGTCCAGCCCCTCCCACTCACCTCTGCTGAGCCTCTCGCCGCCCCTCCTCCCGCCCTTTCTCCCTTTCCCCGTCCGCCCCGGCGGCGGCAGCCGCCACCGCAGCCAACTCCCCCTCCAACTCCCGCACCCGCCTCTCGGCCGCCTCCGCCCGCCGCCGCGCCGCCCGGCTCACCCGCTCCTCCTCCGCCGAGGCCTCGCGCTCACCCTGCCTCCTCGTCGCCGCCTTCGCCTCCTCGAGCGAGCGCCTGGATGCCGCCTCCCCCTGGGCAGCGGCGGCGGCAGCGGCCCCGGCGCGCTCCTCGGCGATGTCTCGGAGAGCAGTGGCGAGACGCGCTGTGGCCTCGGCGCGTTCGCGCTCGGACTAACAAAACCGCGTGCGCGAATGGGTTCGTGGTTGTTTAGAGTCGATGTATTGAGTAGAAGGACACACAAGGGGAAAAGCGCAGCCTGGCCTTGAAAAAGCGGGGGGGGGGGGGGGGGNGGGGGGGGGGGGGTGGAGGGAGGGAGCTAGATGCCCTTGCCATTGATTGGCTTTCGCCTCTCAACTTGGAAGAAGTGGTTATTAAGGCATTTCTTGTAGTCGGTCTCGGCTTCGGCGCCGGGAGATCATGCCCTCCCCTCTACCCCAACCCTCACGTCTTCACGAACACCTCCCCTGCACGAAGGCGAACAAAAACGGCATGGATAGCTGCACGAATAAAGCACCCCGGTCCGCACCCTTCCTTGCCTGAAGGCGAGCAGAACGGCACGGGTAAATTCGACAGAGAAGGAAAGAAAAAACACCCCCGTTTCCACCACACATCACTCCTCCTGCACTACCAAAACCTCACAGTCTTGAGCGCGTCTTCCGCCTCCAACGCCGCAGCCTTCGCCTCTGCCCTCACTCCCGCCTCCGCGCGGGCGGCTTCCGCCAACGCGGCCTCCAGCTCGGCTGCGCGCCGCTCTGCCTTGGCCAGTCTCTCCGCTACCGCTGCCTCTCCTGCCGCCGCCGCCGGTCCGTAGAGGGTATGTAGCAGCACAAGCACCGCCGCCAACGGAACAACCGTCAGTTGTGACGAGTTCGGATGATTAATCGTTTGGTTTTGGAGGTTTGACTTACAGCCCTCACAAACCACCAAATTGCCTTGAAGGATGTTATTGTTTCTCTGTACGCACCACTTGCTGCAATTTCGCGTTCTTCCTCCGTCCGGGCAGGCCGAAAAAGAGGAGTACCACGTCTTTTGGTGATGCCGTGCTATATGCAGCAGCGCGCTACACTACTACGCCGACTACTACTGCGTGGTCCACAAGTCGTGGTGGTCCACAGGTCATGGCGAATCGGCGGGTGAGACGACACCACCCGGTGCCCTCTTTCGGCACCGGCGTGTCCAAACACCGCAGCACCCCAACCTCCTGCCTCGTATACGGCACAACAACAACAACACAAACACGCGCTTGGATAGCCAAAGGAGAAATAAAGTACGCATCCGCCGGAGTGGACCGTCGCTCCCTACCTGCCCGCGGCGCTGCTGGTCTAGCCTCCGAGGAGGCAGAAGCGGCCAAGTCTCTCGCCTGTTGGCGAGCGAGGTTAACCTCCTCCTGCATCGTCGACTTTCGGGACGCGCATACAATGGCGGGCGGGGGAGGGAAGGGCGGGGGGGTAGGCGTAAGGGAAGGTGGGGTGGAGGCAAGAGGAGGGGTGTGTCGTGTTCACAAACAAAAGCCGGGGCAAGAAAAAAAAATGCAAGGGTCTCGCTCACGACCAACACGACAAAGCTCTGAAGGGTACACACGTAAAAAACCATAGGATTCAGTTAGCAGAAAAAACAACAGAGAGCGGGGGGAGGATGGCTCTCAATCACCCTTCAGTACGGCCCGGAAGCCAACCACACTCGAAACAGCGCACAACATCCTCCCCACCCACCCCTCCGGCTCACCAGTCCCTCAAGCAACGCCTCCCACTCCCGCTGCAACGCCCGCACCAGCTCCGGCAGAGGCGCCTCCCCAAGCCTCTCCTCCGGCACGCCGAGGGTGGACGACAACAGCTCCCGCAAGGCCGTCGCCAAGACCCCCGAGAACGCGGCCACTTCCTCCTGATCCTTCACCGCCGCTGCCGCGGCTGCCGCCGCCGTCTCATCGGAGGACTCCGATGACGACGACGACAAACGACGACGACGACGACGACGCCTCCCAGAGCGCTCTTGGTGGTTGTCGCCCGCTCCAGTGGCGGGGGGGGGGGGGGGGGG